ATAATTAGTTCTTATGTAGCTAAGGGAATGGTTGATAATAGGAGAGCAACTGTTTTACATGACAATCTTGTGAGAATGGATGATGGGTCAGAAGAAACAGGACATGTCTGAGTATAAACTAATTCACTTGGGAGAAATTACTTTAAATCAGCAGCAAATGGGTTAGTGAGTATGAAGATGTGCTGCAATGGTGTCTGCAAAGAGAAGGCTGATAGCACATCATGCGTGAACAGGTCAGGAAACCAACTGGAAGATGATGTGTCAGGAGAGAAGACTGAGGAGCTGGCATCTGTTTATAATAGCCACTATTTCAGGGACAGTATTCATTTCTGAATACCTAAGTTAGTAAAATTCAGAGATTGCAGCACAGCAGAGCCAATATTCTTGATGGAAACAATAAAACAGTCTTTACAAACTAGCCGGAACTATAAATCTTAGCACTGGATATTAATAATTAATTACTTGTTATTTATGTGATTATCTACTTGATGTTACCTTTCTATTCTGAACTTCTGGAGTTCTTAGTAGTTGATAGGAAATATATATGTTAAAAATACCAGCAAAAAACTTACGGACTTTTAATTAATATTGTATACTTAAGTAAGGTGAAGTCTAACATCAGGGAAGTTTAGTGTGCTCCACTGGGAGTTAGCAGGGTGAGTTCATTGTTACTGTCAATAACATGTTGTGTGAAAAAAAATGATAAAAAAAATCTGAATTTCCAAACCATACAGGATGCTGTCACTTCCATAACTGAGAAGCCAGAGGCCGTTCTCTGGTCCCTCCTGCCCAGTGCCATGGGGCTGATCGGTGAGGGCACTATTCCAATTCACTGACAGCTTTCCAAGGCCTGTGAATTGCACTTTTCTTTTTGGATGAGGTTAGCTGAAGAGGCCTCAGAGTTGTGTTCAAAACTCTCTTATTTCTCCCAATTTCCACTGTAAGGCCCTGTAAGGTACACCTGTACCTGTAAGGTATATGACTCCCTTTGCGGGACAAACGAGGACACCACCTTTATCTATTTCCAGTCCCTCTCAGGTCTAACCCCAGAGGAAGCTGGGCACCTCATCTCGCTTCTCGTGCGCCTTGGCAAGGCCTCGTAGGGCAACTATCAGGTGTACCCCGCTTCCCTGAATCCCAAGGAGGTGCGTGAAGGGGTGGGGAGCGAAGGGAAGCGGGTGGGGAGCGAAGGGAAGCGGCTGGGAGCGAAG